GTGGCCATGGCAAAATTTAGCAGGGCATCAAGTAATTAAAGTTGGAGAGAATGTGGCAAGATAGGAACTTTTATACATTGTTGGTGGGATTGTAAAATGGCACAACTACTCTAGAAGATAGTGTTTCCTCAAAAAGCTGAACATAGAAATTACATATGACCCAACTATTCCACTGCCTGGAATATATCCTAAGAAAATGAAGAAATTTTTTTTTTTTACATCTGATGATGTACTCATTGCAAATGCCTTCTTTTTAAAATATAAGCAATTAATCTGTATGTGGATAATGGTTAATTTCAATCCCTGGAGAGAAACAGCTTCAGTTGGGGAACATAGCCATAGGGGGGGTCACCCCACAGACCAAAGAGGATGATAAACTAGAAGGTGGGGTTGCAATAAGGCAAGAGGCAATGCGATTGGCACAGGATAGAGCAGGGTTTAGGACTGTTGTACATAGGGTCACTATGAGTTGCAAACGACTCGATGGCACATAAACAACAAACTAAATAATAAGGCAGAATAGAAAAGATGGAACAGAAAGTCAGTGAACTGGAAAACAAAAATGAAGAGAAAAAACAGAGGAAATGGAAAGAAAGTGAAGAAAACATTAGAATTATGTGGATGACATCAAAAGGAACGGCATACGTAAGATCAAAATTACAGAACATCTGGTGGGCAGGAAAGTCATTGAGAAAATTTTAGAAGTTCTAGAAGAAAACCTCCCAAGTATCATGAAGAATAAAGAAATCCACATTCAAAAAGTTCAGTGAACCCCAGTCTAGATCCCAAAAGAAAAACATCAAGATATCATAGTCCAATTCTCCAAAATCAAAGATAAGCATACAATACCAAAAGCAGCACAAAAAAAAAAGGAGGAGGAGGAGAGCAAGAACAACTAATTGAGCAGGTCATAAAAAGACTCACCACAAAAAAAGTCCTGGCCCATATAGCTTCACAGCTGAATTGTACCAAACATTCAGAGATGAACTATCACCAATTCTACTCAAATTATTTAAAAAAAATTTTTTTTAAAGGAACACTCCTAGAGCCATTCTATAAAGCAAACAGAACCCTAAATACTAAAACTAGGCAAAGGTATTATCAATAAAGAAAACTACAGACCAATATTTCTCATGAATATAGATACAAAAATTCTCAACTAAATCATGGCCAATAGAATTCAACAGTATATTAGAAAAATAATTCATCATAACCAAGTGAAATTCATAACAGGTATACAAAGATGGCTTAACACAAGAAAAAACATCAAGATAATTTATCACATTAACCAAGCATCAAACAAGAACCACATGATCCTATCAATTGATACAGAAAAGGCCTTCAACAAAATCCAACCCTCCCCCCCATTCTGATTAAAACAGCAAAATAGGAGTAGAAGGGAATTTCTGCAACATAGTGAATGTATATAAACAAAACCAAGAGCCAATATAATTTCCGATGGAGAAAGACTAAAGACATTCCCCTTGAGAACAGGCACCAGACAAAAATGTCTATTTTGTCCACTCTCATTCAGCGTTGTATCGGAAGTACTTGCTAGGGCAAAACAACAATTGAAGGAAATAAGAGGCATTCAGATCAGCAAAGAGGTGGTAAAACCTTACCTATATGTGGACTACATGATAGTGTACATAGAAAACCCCAAGGACTCACAAAAAAAATTGTTAGACCTAGTAGACCAATTTGGTAAAGTAGTAGTATATAATATCAATATACAAAAATCAGTGGAGTTCCTCTACCGGAACAGAGAAAGAAACTGAGAAAGTGATAGAATTTACAACAGCCAACCACAACTTGAGGTATTTAGGAATAAACCTAACCAGAGACACAAAAGATATCTGTAACTTCCGGACATTTGACAGTTATCATGATGTTCAACTCTTTCATGACTTGAGAAGCAGCAAGAACTGCAAACGTCACTTGAATGCCCTTCACACATGCACAGGATGACCATGTCCACCCCAGTGTCCAAGGAGCTGCAGTAGAAGTACAACGTGGTTCCATGCCCACCTGCAAGAACACCAGGTCCAGATGGTTTGAGGACACAAGGTCAGCAAATTGGCAGGTAGTTCAGGTGTACAGAAGGAAGTATGTCATCGACCTGGAAAGAGTAGAGTGTGAGAAGGCTCATGGTACAGGTGATCATCACCAGGCTGAAAACGGATCAAGATCGGAATAATATTCTTGAACATAAAGTCCAATCTCAGCAAATTGGAAAAGAGAAAAGCAAATAGAAGGAAGAATTTACTGAGAAAATGCTGGAATGAACCTGACCTGTTAAGCAACCATATTTTAACTAGTTTCTAGTCAAGTGTGTTCTTGTGAACTTTGCAAAATTTTCCTCTCTTTGTTCAGAAGTGGCTCCACAAATCTGCCTTTGCAATTTTTATTCATAATTTAAAGAACAAAAATTGAAGTGTTTCCCAGTTTAAAAAAGAAAATGACAAAACATAACTGTGAGGAACAGTAAGAGACCTAACTAATCAAAACAACTGTGAGATACCATCTCACCCTAGCAACAATAGTAAAGTTCATCAGGGCTGCAAATGACAAATGCTGGCAGGGTTATGGAGAGATTGGAACTCTTATTCACTGCTGGCAGGAATATAAAATGGTACAACCACTAGGGAAGGCAGTCTAGCATTTTCTCAGGAATTTGGAAATAGAAATAGCATTTGATTCAGCAATTCCACTAGTAGGAATATACCCTAAAGAAAGCAGAGCTGCCATGCAAACAGATGTACGTACCCATGTTTATTGCTCCATTATTCACAAGAGCAAAGAGACAGAAATAACCCAAATGCCCATCAACAAATGAATGGATAGGAAAACTATGGTATATTCACACAATGGAATACTATGCAGCACTGAAAATCAAGGAATTAATAAAATCTTATACAACATGGGTGAACCTGGAAGATATTATGCTAAGTGAAATATCTCACTCACAGATGAACAAATGCTGCATAAAACCATTGTTATAAAAGAGAACTGGCATAGGGGTTAGGAGGAAAACTGAGAAAAGAGGGGATAGATAATGAACACTGCATTGGAACAAATAAAGAACTATTTAAAAGGAATATATGATTAGGCATTATCTGTATAACAACAGTCCAGAATAAGTGGACTGGAGAAGGGGGAAAGAAGAGGGAGGAAGGAATTTGTGCAACAATTAACGATTTTTTTTTTAAAGTAAACAGGGGAGGAAGTAGGGAGGAAAATGTGCAACAATGAATGAATGAAAGTCTAACTTTTCTGTAAACTTTTGTTTTAAAAAAACTAAAACAAAATGCTAAAAAAGAAAGAGACCTAACTAAATAGAAAAATGTTCCCTACAAATTCTAGAAGCATTACAAACTCAAAAAAACAAATAGTAAAAAGGAATATTACACCTGTGTAATTGTGTTGAGAACCAAAAAGAACATGAAAATTTTAAGACCTTCCATATTATCCACAAAGGAATAAACCTGACTTCTCAACGATGCATTAAGTACATGGCTTACAGAGTCCTATTCAGGAATACAAAGTCAACTGTAAAAGAATGATCAGAATTTAAAGGAAAATAGACTAGTAACTGGCACAGATTGAAATATGTATGATACAAATACTAACAAAAATAAGCTTTATATAACTGTGACAATAAGATAGATTTTAATCCTTAAAAATTTAGAAAGCATCATTAGAGACATGAGTAATGCTTCTTAAAAATAAAAAATTTAAGGGAGCTCTGGTGGTCTAGTGGCAAGAAGCTGCACTGCAATCCCAGAGGCACGTGGTTTGATTCCACCAGATGCTCTGCTGGAGAAGGAGGTGCAATATCCTCCTGTACTAGTCAGATCTGATTTGATGGTACATGCACAAAAATTAATAAAAAAGAAAAATTTAATTTACCAAGAAAATAAAATAATCCTAAATAATATACATCTAATGATCTGTAAAAATCTATGCAAGACTAAATGGTATGAAAGAACATATTTATAGCACAATTATTTTTATAAAATATATTACACAAAGGGACTTAATATATTTGTCAAATATGTGCATATATATTTATATATATAATAATGTATATGACGTTACTTATATTGTGGGTCTGTGACAAGGAAACAGAAACAGAATATAGAAAAACAAAGTAAGTGAGATAATAACTCACTATGACCTATAAGGATAGCCTAATACAAAGGAAAACAATTAATTAAATTACCCACCTAATCTACATAAGAGAAAGGCTAGAGAGGAAAAGTAGATTATGGCATCTACTCATTAGACTTAACAATACTTAAAGAAAATCACAGAATGAAACTATATTCCTGTTTCTGAGGAAGGGGGATAAGTGTGTAGTTAATATACTGATTGAATTGGCTGAGAACCGTGCTTAATCTGTGTGGTCCAGCTGAGGATGGGCTCTGGATTTTCTCCGAGAGCTGAAATAAGAAGGCCATCCTAGAATGCTCTGGAACAGGGAAGTAGAAATCCCAAAGAGAGGGGCTTCACCTGTAGAAAATGGTTAGGTTCCTAGGGGTTAAAGGAGGGACAATGGTGAAGAGATTTCCTGTGAACCACGGATTAAGGATTTCATGGAATGTGGGCAGGTAGGAGGCAGTAAACTGATGATGCTGGAGCCAACCAGGGCAACTGTAAAGCCATAAAGCTCTCCCTGGGCTAGCAACCAGATGAGATGCTGTCCACTCCTCTAGTGCTGGGATCTCAAGGAAGGATCACCAAGACCAAATCCAGGATTGCAGTGCACAAGCTAGGTCTCTCGATTCAGCCTTTTCTCCTCTTCTGTATGTCCACATGTTCTCGCTTGGCCACCTTGCGGCTCTTGTAACTCCACCTTAGGTGAGGTGGCAACTTGTTGGCTGTGTGCATGGATGTTACCTGTGGTTACCTGGGCAATGGGCCAGGTTGTTTTGACAGACTGCTGAGGAAAAGAGAGGGGTTCAGAAGTTTTTCCTCTTGTACATGGGACCAGTTGGTGCTCAGGAGAGACCACAGGACTGGAGGTGTTTGGCCAAGGCCTCCTTGATGTCTCTGTTCCTCAGGCAGTAGATAATGGGATTGAGTAGTGGGGTCACCACTGAGTAGATCACAGACACCAGCTTGTTGAGGTCAAAGGAGCTGGCTGCATGAGGACGGGCATACATAAAGATGGTGGTGGTGTAGAAGATCGCCACCACCAACAGGTGTGAGGCACAGGTAGAGAAGGCCTTCTGGCGACCTGCCCCTCCTGGAATTCTCAGCACCGTGGCCAGGATGCGGACATAGGAGACTACAGTCACTAGCAGAGAAGTCATGAGCACGGCCAGGGCTGCCACAAAGTCCAGCATTTCAATCACAGTCGTATCTGAGCAGGAGAGCTGCAACAGAGGGGAGATGTCACAGAAGAAATGGTTAAGGACATTGGGGCCACAGAACCTGAGGTGAGAGATGAGAGCCAAGGACACAAATGAGGCCAGGAAGCCACCAAGCCAGGCACTGAGGGCTAGGTGCAGGCACAACCTTGAATCCATGATGGCTGGGTAACGCAGCGGGTGACAGATGGCCAGGTACCGGTCACAGGCCATGGTGGCTAGGAGGAAGCACTCAGAGGAGCCCAGTGAGAGGAAGAGGAAGAGCTGGGTAAGACACCCTGAGAAAGATATGGTCTTTTCCTGCACCAGGAGGCTGGCCAGCAGCTTAGGGACAGTAACTGAGGTGTACAGGATCTCCAGCACTGAGAGGTTGGCCAGGAAGAAGTACATGGGTGTGTGCAACTGACGACTGGTCCGGATGACCACTATGATGACCAAGTTCTCCAGGAGGGTCACCATGTAGATGGTCAGAAAGGACCCAGAAAGCAGCCCGTGCAGGTGGCAGAGCTCTGGGAAGCCCAATAAGACAAATTCTGTCACCAAGGTGAAGTTGGAGTCACTCATGGCCTGCCCCATGTGGGAGATAGATCACTTTAGAGCACCCTGAAATGACAGAGGGGCATGGGTCTGATGAGTGCTGGGACCAGTCTCACACATGTCACTGAGAAGAGGACCTGGGTGGTGGGTGTAGTGTGTTCCTTTCTGGGGTCTCCAAGGCAGGGGACAAACATATCTAGCATGGTCACCTGAAGATCAAGGCAATTCTCATCTGTGGCTTCCTGCTGCAGTACTTACCTGTCATCTAACTTCTCTGTTCAGTATGCAAAGGTACACTTAAATGACACCTGGTGAAGGAGCCCTGCAATATTCACACAGTAGGTGTAGATAAACATCGGAGTACTAAGATAAAGCCATGTGCTTCTCCAACTATAATAGGTACTTACACTGACAGCCATTTAAGTATTAGTGCAGGTTTGTGGGCAAACCTGCATGTTTGCTGGGTGCAAACAAGCACATAACCACAACTAGTGCATACACATGTAGAGAGACACACATGCACACAGCATAGTGGAGAGGTCTATAGGACCCATTACTCAGGGAGCTCTGGTGGCCTACTGGCAAGAAGCACTGTAATCCCAGAGGTGCGTGGTTTGAATCTGCCAGGTGCTCTGCTGGAGAAGGAGGGACAATCTCCTCCCGTACCAGTCAGATCTGATTTGATAGTACACGCATTACTAATAATAATAATAATAAATATAGGACCCATTCCTGTTCTGGTACAGTGAGCCCTAGGGAACACTCATGCCCTGGGCATGTTGATCCTCCAGGGACAGCTTCCTTGTGTTACTCGCTGAGTTCAGGGTCCTTCCAAAAGTAGGTGCTTCCAAAAGTAGAATTAAGGGCAAATAAGGCCATTAGATGCTCCAGAGGGGATGAGCAGACCCACTGAGTGGTTTCTAAAGAGAAGAAATCCCTTTGTCCACCTCCAAGTATGATGTGAATTGGCCTGGAGCCGACCCAACCCCTTTATCTTCTGCCATTTGGAATAGCAAAAGGGTCCTTTGAGAAATAGGTATGAGGTGTTCACTCAGAGCTGCTAATTGGCCCACACCTACAGGAATTTTTCTCCCAAGACATCCCTGGGACAAATGTCTGAGGTTGGGCTGACAGTATAGAGAAGGTGGGCTGTGTGTGGCAGGAGCTGGAGAGAGCCCTCTGCCTACTGAGGATACCTAGGGCCTCCTGCCTCTCTGTAAGAGGGGAGTCTCATTCCCAACTCCACACTTTCCCCCTGAGGACAAATTAAATTCATGACTAGCTCTCAAGTACCCTCCCCCCATTCATGAGTTAGAGCTGTGAGTTCTTACTTGGAAGTGAACTCATTCAGAGACAAGTGAAGGGCATGTGACAGTCTCCAAAGAACCACACATGCTATTACTATGCCCTGTGGCCACAAACACCAGGTGGTAGACATCATCATGGCCAAGAGTCAAGGGTTCTTGGAGGCAAGGACAGAATATTCAGGATATTATGATACCTAGAAGTAGCAGAAGTGAGTGAGGGGGTTTAATTCAGGGTCTAGTCAACAGGGAATTAGTTTGCCAGCTCAAAGACTATCTGTGTAGCAATTCTAATCTATCATTGGTTCCTAGGGAGGAAGAGAAGCAGTTTTCTGCTGTGCAGCTGGGGAAGCCCAGTGGAGAGTCCACTGTAAGTGGTTCCCTCCTGATGGCAACGAGTGAGGATAAGTGAAGTACAGTGAAGGAAATGCAGGACAGTTGGCACACTGCCTAGAAACAGTTGTCAGAACTGAACAAGAGCTCACATCCTGTGGACATGCACATCCAGGATGTCAGCAGCCCTACACACCATAGAATGAAAATGTCAGAGCAGAAAGCACTGGAATTGGGAAGGGTATGAAGAACCAAGCATGTGGTTGGCCTACGCCAGAGGCATCAGCTTACATCCCAGGATGAAGACAAGGAGTTACCAGTGCTCAAATAACCCCCACCCCAGAGAGAAGCAGGAGCTGGCATGTTGTCTTTATATCTACCTGACCTCTGCTGAAGATCCAGGAGAAGGACGTGCTACATTTGGGATGGAGGATTCAGGGAACTGCTTTCCTCATATCCTTGTGATCCAACCACATGGGGGTCCTTGGACAGCTCTCAGCGTATGCTGTCCTCAAAACCATCGGCTGGTCTTTAATGCAAGACTAAAGTCTGAGAAAGCCAGACTCTCTTTCCCCAAATGTGTGGGGCATCTGCTGGATTTTTGCATATCTCTGAGGTTGGATTACACTATGTTTCACTGCATTCCTGTGCCTCCAACCTAGGAGGACTCTTATTTAGACTACTGAGAGAAAGAGATGATTTGTTTTGAGCTTATAAAGCTCCCTGCCTCTTTACCTTGTCCCTGAGCCTAAGGCATTTAATTGTGGCATTTCCCTCTGGTGAGACTCTCAGAGTAGTAAGTGGGAGAAAATCTGTAGGGTCCACAGAGGGTATGTAACTGGGGACTGTGCTCAGCACCGAGACCTCTCCTCTCTCTCCAACAGTAAACAGAATGCAGGTTATCTGCTCTCCAGGAGTTCTGTCCCTAAGTGACACCCATCAGATTTTGGTTCCAGCCTCAAAAATCTTCATCCAGGCTTCCAGGTAGAGAGTAGCTTTCAGAATACTCCATTTCTTTTCTATGTTCATATTTACTTATGCATTTATTTATGAAACAATACAACGAACAGTTATAAACCTATCCTCAGCCCAAAACCTAGACAATTACTAATAAATGACCTCAGGCAAAGTGTCCATTCCAACACTGCCTTCCCCACTCCACCTTCAACCCTGGGAGACAACTGAGTGCATTCCTTGGACTATTAAAACATTTTCATCCTATATTTAATCTATCTGTTGAAACTTTTCACCTGGTATCCCATCAATCCCTGAGGTTTTCATTTTTGCCAGGCCTTCAGAGCAGCTTGAACTTCGGCATTCATTGCCTTTGGTTCTTGGTCATACTCTGCTTCCTGCAATAGTTCCATGTTGGCCAATTCTTTTTGGTACAGTGAATCTGTGTATTCCTTCCATCTTCTTTTGATGTTTCCTGGATCATTCAAGATTTTGGCTGTAGAATTCTTCAGAATTCCAAGTCAAGGCTTGAGTTTGTTTTTCCATTCTTTCAACCTGAGAAATGCCAAGATTTCTTCCTTTTTCTTTTCTAACCTCAGTTCTTTGTGCATTTCATGATAATATTTTGCTTTTGTCTTTTCAAATTGCCCTTTGAAATCTTTCCTCCTACTATACCATTTCTTCCCTTTGCCTTTGCTTCTCAGAGCTCTAGCATAATTTTTAGTTTCTTCTGACATCATTTTGGTCTTCTCTTTCTCCCATCTTTGTAATGACCTTTTGCTTTCTTCATAGATCATGTCCTTGATATCATCCCGCAATTCATGTGGTCTTGATCATTAGTGTTTAATGCCTCAAATCTATAAAGACTAAGGTGACTCAAGTCATGGGATTTTCAATTACTTCCTGTGCCTCTGAAAGTTGAGCAACTAATAAAGAAGACAGAAGGAGAATGTCTTCGAGCTAAGGTATTGGGGAAGTACTGGTTATCCCATGGATTGTGAAATTAACAAAAATGCCTTGGAAAAAAATGCTACCAGGTGTTCCTTAGAGGCAAGGATCACAAAGCTTCATCTCATATCCTTTGGGTTTATTGTCAAGAGAGATCAGTCTTTAGCAGAAGACACCAAGCTTGGAAAGGTGAAGGGTCAGCATAAGAGAGGAGACCCTCAACAAGATGGATTCACACAGTAACGGTAACAATGGGCACAAGTATACCAGAGACGGTGACGGCAACATATTATAAGGCAAGGTTCAGATTCATTGTTCATAGAGGAGCTCCATTCAGCAGCACCTAACAACAACAACAGCATTTAAACATGTAATTATATATTTTAATTAGACAGTCTCTGGCATGTGTGGTGGTAAGAAACTGCACAGCAATCCCAAAGGCTCATGGTTTGAATCCACCAGCTGCTTCATGGGAGAATGATGGACAGTCTCCTCCTGTGAGATTAACCACCTCTGAAAACTTGCTGGAGGGTCAGCTAGGAGTCAATTCCGACTACTCAACGGTACACAACAACAATTATATAATGCATTGTTTAGTTTTTCATCCACTGTAACTTTGCAACAAAAACTATTATGTTATAGGCTCTTCTCGGTCTTATTTTACACATTAGTAGCTCTGATGGTGTGCTGTGTAGCAGGTTACTACAACTGGATTGATAGCACCTCAGTTCTCAGTTATATAGTCTATGTATGTCATTGATTAGGACTTCTAAGTTTGTCCCACGTTTTTCTTTGATGATTTTTTACAGCTTTAGAGTTTAAGATTAGACATTGTACATCTTGAGTTAGATTCTGTGTATACTATGAGGTATAGAACTTGTTTTAATTTTCTAGAAGTAGATATTCAGATTTTTGAGCACCATTTATTTTCTGGTTTTTTTTAAATTTTTTTATTTTGTGATTTTTAACAAAAATTTACAGAAAGTTAGATTTTCATTCATTCATTGTTGAACCTTTTTACCTCCTCTCCTTCCCTTTCTCCTCCCCCTGTTCACTTTTTTCTTTGTTCCTTTTATTCATTCATTATTGCACAATTACCTCCCCTGCCCCGGTCCTCTTTGCAATGTACCTCGTGTTCTGGACTGTTGTCATACATATAATGCCGTATCATATATTCCTTTTAAACAGTTCTGTCCTTCATCTGTTGCAGTGCAATGTTCATTATTTATCCAGTCTTATCCTATTCTCCTCCCAAACCCTCATGTCAAACCTGCTTTACAACAGTGTTGCTATCCAGAGTTTGCCCTTTTGAAATATCTCAGTCGAGATATTTCAATTAGCATAATGTCCTGTAGGGTCACCCAAGCAAGTTGTGCAATGTTTTATGAGTTCATTGTTTTTCAGTCCTGCATTCCATTATGTGAATATGCCATAGTTTTTCTAACCATTTGTTTGTTGATGGATGGGCACTTGAGTTTCTTCCATCTC